TTATCCCACTTAGGAAAATCGTTATTATGAGGCTGCATTCAGCATTATGGATTTCAGGGCAACAGAGATAACATGATTTGAATGGGATACCAATGCCCCACACCTAAAGTGACACTTGTGCCGTTTTGTTTTTTCTTTCTTCATCCTCACTCACTCCTCCCAGAGAAAGAAGAAAAAGTTATCAGATTTGGGGGGGCATAAGGGCTAGGTGTGCTCAACTCGGCTCCTCTTTGGACCCACATATTCCTTGCTCTCCATGTCCTAAGACACTCCCATGGCTTATTTTTTTCCCACGACTTATTTAGTTAAGGGCTTGATGGAGAAGAGCATGCTCTATATTGACTCTTCCTCCAAAACACCAATCAGTAACCACCACCACCACCACCAAAATGTATGGAGCACTTAAGTGCCAGGCACTGCCCTAAGGCACTTCATATGTATTATCCCACAAAGCCAAGAAAACCAAAGCTTAGAAACCACATGCATCAAGCCGGAGACAGCATGCCTAGAAGGTGGCGGAGCAGGACTCCATCGCTCTTCGGCCTTCAGAGGTAATGCTGGACAGACAGCAGATTGTAGTTGCCTGTAAAATTGTGCAGATCTAAACCTTATCGTCTATAGACGGCAAAGAACTCTCAAATCTCTCCCAAGTACTTAGCAGATTAACAGCTCCTTTTAAAGAAAAATAATTACCTTCCTCACCGGCTCTCGGCTGGAAGAGGGGACAGACCTCGAGTGGAGAAGAATGCAAATTAAGTGCTTAAGGTGGAATAGCAGAACTCGGCTCTGCCTCCTCCTGCTCCCCGATCTGAAGCCGGTGGAACCCTCTCCAATTAACACCACGGAAGTCTGGGACTTCGGGCAGACAGCTCAACCATGAACTGATTAGTATCCAACTCTTGCCAAGGGCTCATTTAAGACATCTGATAGCAGAGTGAGATGGCTTAATATGCAGATTAAGCAGCCATTCCTCCAGAATCTCTGTAGTTTTAGCCATTTACTAAATGGGATAGACACAAGGCAACATTTGTCCTCCGTAGTAACTCAGCTTACAAAAACTCCTTCACACACTTAAGGTTTATGCCCTTGGGTTTTATAGGGAATGGATATAAGAAACATCTATTTAAACAATCACTAAAGTTTTTGTAAAGGAACAGTTGAAAGCACTGTCTGTTATGTTATCCGATGCCCTTAAAGAAAAAGCACGCGATATATTCAGTGCCAAGAAAAAGTTTGTTTCTCTTTTATTTGTTTTCCCTCATCAGAAGAGGACTGCATAATCACATCTCTTTTTGCCTCAACTCTCCAAAACTTCAGAGGCAAATTCAGTGCTCAAATGCAATAACTAATTCATCCCAACCATCTTGCCTATCTATTCTTTTTTTTTTTTTTACCCCTTTTGATCTTGATTTTATTTTTGTGCCTCCTGCTTTAAATTGGACTTCGTTTTGCAAGCCAACTTATATCTTTTTCCCTTCAAAAGTAGGACATCCATCCTAAGTAAAGAGGCTTTTTCTTACCCACTAAGAAAAATCAGTCCTCCCAGATGCTACAAGTGCTCTTAGACTTGACAGACCCATTCATGTCTTTGCCCTAATCTGTCTGGTTAATACAGTGAACATGAGAAGACTCCAATCAGCTTCAACCCCTACCGACTTAGTGCACCAACCCCAAGCAAATGAGAACAAGAACCACCCAGCTTTCAGGATTTTATGCTCTTGAGCTTCAGGAGTCAAGCTGATTCCCAAAGTCAAAATGTTTCCACGCAGGACGACAATACCTGGGACAGACCCCCTTAAGATAAAAACACCTGGGACAGACTTGACCCACAGCCATAATTCTGTCCAAGCCATTCTAAACATTTCTTTTGAAATAAAAGAAACAAGCATTAACCACTGCATAGATGCTATTTTCCAAAGAGAGCTGCAGTAACATTTCCCTTTTCACATGCCCTTTTTGCAAAATGACCTTGCTAGTCTCCCATTAAGGGATGGGGTCTCTTTCTCTACTCCCTTGAACTTGGACAAACTCTGTAGTGGCCCTGGCCAATAGGAAACAGTGGAAGTGTGTTGTGCCAGTCCCAGGGATAACTTTTAACTAGTCTGGCACTTCCACTTCCTGTGTCTTGGCAGTCAGCCACCATAAAAGGAGCATGACCGTCCCAAGAAGATAGTGCCGTAAAAAGCACCACATGGACAGGGCCTGGATGAGACACCATGTGGGGACAGAGATGCCCCAGAATATGGTGACACATGCATGAGAAAGCCATCTGGAAGGGGATCCCCATTCCGAACTGTCCTAGCTGTCACCATGTGCACCAGAGATGAACCTTGACTTGTTCCCTAATTCCTGACCCTCATAATTGTAAGCAAAATGAAAATCAGTGGTTTTCAAATGGGGACTGGGACAGTGTCTTAACTCACACTATCATGAGGATCAAATATTTAATGCATGTAAAGCCTCTGGCCCAGTCCCTGGCATGCAGTAAGTGTTCAACACATGGTAGTGATCATTTTTAATTGGTCTAAGTAGCAAAACCGAGCATTTTGAGTCATACCTGCATAGGGAGTCAGCTTTCTCAAGAGCTCTTTTGTGACAACACTCCAGTCACACAACATAAGATGACCTATACAAACAGAATACTTCCTGTCTCATCGCCACCTCTCAGTCACCTCCAACAGGCCCCAAGTCGCATGTGGCATGGGATCGACATGCACATGCATACATGTTGTAAATCTAGAGAACGTCACATAGTATTGAGCCATGCCTGCTCTCTGCCGGGCAGAGAATCCTTCTCGGAGGTCCGGGGGGAGGGTCTACTGCTATACTCATGCCCAAGTCGCCTTCTGACAAATGTCCAGGGAGCGTCATGGCGTGAGTTGCAGGCACGCGGAAGGAGGGGAGATTTAAGGGAAGACAAGAATATCGCTTACACTCCTGGCAGGTTTACCCATGTGCCTCTGAATATTCTGAGCTGAACTTACTGCTTTCTTCGCAATTCTTCTTTTCCGATGCACATATTTTAACATATCTGTGTGTTGGTGCTGCCTTAGCTCCCCATCTGCCCAATGTTTACCGAGTGTCCATTACTTGCAAAGGTTTGGGGTGGAGGTGGGGGGGTAGGTCAGTCAGGGAAAAGCACACTGACCGCTTTCACAACAGCGGTGCTGGACCCTTAGGAGAATAGCTGAACCTTTTCCCACAATTAAGTCTCCTTATTTCTTCCCACTTTCCGGAGAACACAGTCACCAACAAACCCCTCCCAGCTAAAAGAGCCCATTCCCTCCCAGAGCTCCCATCCTCTTCCTGCCAGTCCCTCGTCTCCCCCCAGGGTAGGCTGGGATCAATGCAGGAGGACTTCAAAGAGGCCCTCAAATTGGAGTGCAGGCAGCACTTTCTTTTAAAAAAAAAAAAAAAAGGAGAGAGAAAAAGAAAAAAAACCCACTGGAGCTGTGATTCTAAGTCAGTGGGGGAGGGGTGCAGGAGTCAGGGACGGGATCTGACAGCAGGACACAATGCGCTGAGGATCAGGGCTCCGAGACACATTCGGCTCCGGAGATGAAAACTCTTCTTTCGCTGCTGACAACATCTGTTTTATTTTGAAGGTTGCTAAGGAGAGTTCTAGCTGGGCTAACATTGTTCCAGTTCAGTACTTCATAGTGAGTCTCTTTGCGCAGGGTTGAGGCGGCAGGAATAAAAGCTCGCCAGATAAACCCCGCTCCTTTCACTCTGCAGATATCAAAGAATCACTTTGCTACCAGGGATGACTAACACCCCGCCTCGTCTCGCTCTGAATTGGATGGACCCTCTGCTTACTCTCTTATACTCTCCCTCTCCCAGCCCCTCTCTGTCCCCACTTGCCAGCTCCCCATCTCTGCCAAATAATGGCTTATTAGGAAGAAACAATACAGTGAATGTGTCACTAGCCTGGGAGGAGGTTTCAATGCAGAGACAAGAAAGAGCTGAGGAATGAGCTGGGGCTCACGGAGCGAGGATGTATGGCATTACACAAAGGAGGAAATGATTTCCCAGCCTTTAAAGATCTGTTTTACCTCCTAGTAGAGTAATGCCAAATGCCTTCGTGTGGGCTTAGAATGGTCAGAGGACAGGAGAGAGATCAAGTTCAAAACAGGGAAGGGGCTGACCCACAGGCCTGTGTCCATCTTTGCAGTAATGGACGTGGGAAGCAAGGCGCTCCACACTCCACTTGGTCCCATCCTGCCTAAGGTCACTTGCAATTAACTACAAGATGGTAACAAAATCAGGAAAAGCACTCAGAAAAATAAGAGAAGGGGAGGATGACAGGGGTAAAAAAAAAAAAAGGCTATGACAATGACCTTCATATGTATGACAAGTAGCAATTGCATGAGTGGCAAGGTGGTCAACAGTTGAGGGCCACTCTGCTTCTCCCCAGGGAATCGGACTTGGGGAGAGAACCCTCCAGAAGAGGGGGAGAAACAGGAAGGCCCTGTTTCTTTTAATACCTGTTTAACTGGTATCTGCAAAAAAATTAAAAAAATCATTTTGGGATGCCAGGGCATTTAGTGAAAAAACTGTGTTCCATTAACTGAAGGAATTCTTTTTCTACCCTGGGCTTTAGAAAAGCAGCAGCTCCTGCCAGAGAATACCTAGGAGTCTAGGAAAAAGAGAGGGAGAATGGCAGTGTGCTCCCTCCAACAAAGATCCATTTCAAAGAGCCAATCAGCAGGACCCCCGACCCTGCAAATCTCTGACCACAAAAGGAAACTGTATCGTCTCAAATGAGGGTATTGAGACAACTGAGGCCACATCATCTAAACATTTCCCTTGACTGCCAGATTCTATTTCAGCCAGCTTTGCTTTCTCTCCTCCCCAGCTTGGGATCTATCCAGGAGAAAGTATGCTTGTGGATATCAAGAATGCCACAATAATGCAAAACACACAGCTCTTTGACTCCTCCCCAGACCCCAGGGGAAAGATTAAGCCAGCGAGGTGGAGGGCCACCCTCCAAAACCACTCACCTAGCCAGGTCACCGTCACGGCAGCTGGGGCCGACATGGCCTCTGCCACCTTGTGCCAGCTCCTGTTGTATCCGGGGGTCCAGAGCGCCACGTGGCAGAAATAGTAGCCAGCATTTTCTTTGCTGACATCTCGAACCAGTAGGTGGTAGGAGCGTGCATCCGTGTGACTCAAGGCCACGTGAGGAGAGCCGTGCACCAGGGAGTCACGGTCCAGCCGAGCCAGCACACGGGAGCCGGGCAACGTGCTGTCGGGCGTCCGGCTGAAGGACCACGTCACCTCAGGTCTGACATCGTCTGTTCGGTCCGTCGTGATGTTGCAAGCCAGGCCCAGGTCCTTGCCTTCAGCCACAGACACATTCCTGGCCACAGCTGCTCGGAGAACTGGAAAACCAAAAACAAGGACATTGAGATAATCTCAGTTACATTTGCCACTTCCACCCCATCCCCTTAGATCACCTCCTTTTACCTTCTTATGTATGGCATTCAAGTTAGGAGACTTTGTACAGTTTTATGTGCTTGAGAAATGTACTGAATAAATGAACGATGTATTTTTTATTTCATTAAAACAATAACAGCAGCAGACACTTATATAGATGCCAGGCACTTATATATGCCAGGCACTCTTCTGAGTGCTTTATAAATGTCATCTTCAAAACAAGCCTAAAAGGTGGTTCTATTATCATCTCCATTTTACCAATAAGGCAATTGAACCACAGAGAAGTTAAGTAACTTGCCCAATGTCACACAGCTACTATGTGGCAGAGTTAGGATTCAAATTCAGGCTGCCTGCCTCTAGGGGCTCTGCTCTTAAGTGTGACACCATCATTACGTACATTATCATTTGAAAACAACTCTGTTGAACATCACAAAACTAAATTCATATTTTCTCCATATGCATGATAGACTTGGGTGACTTTCAGAGAAAGGATAGCTCAGCTCTGGCAGGTACATATTGTCACTCGGGGGCTAGGAGATGGAGGGTGGAAGTGAGGCTAAAACCATCCTCTGGGTAAAACAGGATCAGGATGTAAACAGAAGGACTGGGAAAGGGAAACCAGACAACATGCCTAGCAGGTCAAAGTCTCCCAAATGCAATGTACTTAGAGCATCATTTATTCCGCTCTACACTCCCACCTTAAAGTCAAGGATAAAGGATATTCTAAAACCAAAACACAGTGATTTCTGGACAATGCCACTGCTCTCTCTCATTAGTGTGGATAATTAAAAGTAAACTATATTTAGATGAAGCACTGAAGGATTTGGTGTGATAGTCCCCAGGCAGATCTGGTTTCAGCATGCCCCTGTCAAGGCTTTTTACATGGAAACATTTTATTTTATTCAAGGGATTTTTTTGCAATGAAGTTGAACATCTGTAATCAGAGGAGAAAAACATTCAACACGTGGTAATGCTCTGGGAACAACTGCTTAGAAGATGAGGAGTCGACACCTCCCAGGGGATTCAAGTAGAAGCAGAGCACAGGCCTGGTCTTCCAGCCAGACGCACTCAGCATCAGCTACGGACCTGGGTCAGTTCAGTGACAAACGCTGGCACTTGGTTGAGAAAAGACCCAACCCCACGAACCCATGCGCTTTGAAGTAAATGACTTTCATTATAGATTTTTCCAAAGACTGATGATATTTCAAACAAGAGTTTCAGGCCAAGTTCAAGCTTCACTTTGATGAAGACAGAAAACAAGGTAGGCATAGTATTAGAAAAAAGGAATTTAAAGTCTAATTTCTTACCACCACCCACCTTCTTCTAAATTCTTCCTCCTCCTTCACCCCTTTAAAGGAGCCAAAAACAATATGAGATATCGTTTGAGAGGAGTCAGGAAACTGCTGCTCTGAGCCCAGGCTGCCGTTTGAACCACTCCATGTGCAACCATGGTCAGAGACCCTGGAATACTGCCAGAGTTGCTCTATGCCAGCCACACTACAGCAGTTGTAAAAGAAGGCCCAGGAGGGAGCCAGCCGAGGAAAGAAGTGGCCAGTATGCAACTGTGGACAGCATGCATGGAGAAAATGGATTCTTGCGTTTAGAAATAGTGACATCTCTGTAACAATATAGTTCACTCTCTAATTTTTTTTCTCTGCAAGTGGCTAAATATCTCGTCACATCACTCAGCATAGTTTTTAACATGTTCTATGGGATTGGAGAGTTCACTACTGGGACAGGATGAAGTATGGTGAAGGGAAAAAGGAATCAGTTCTAGGGACTCATAGAGGGGACTTCCGACAAAGTCTGTGATGGTGTAGGCTTTCTCCTCCTGGATATAACTGACCCTGTAAATTAAGACACCAGGCTCAGCATTAACCAGACCACTCCTAACACAGGGGGGTTTACTGCCACCTACATGGTACAGCCCCACCATGTAAATCACTTTGTGCCATTTATCATAAGAATGCAATAAGAATAGTTAAGAAGTTAGCTACGGACAACTTCATAGCAGCACTATTTACTATAGCCAAGACATGGAAGCAACCTGCATCCATCAACAGATGAATGGTTAAAGAAGATGTGGTATATACATATATATACAATGGATTATTGCTACTGCTAAGTCACTTCAGTCATGTTTGACTCTGTGTGACCCCATCCCTGGGATTCTCCAGGCAAGAACACTGGAGTAGGTTGCCATTTCCTTCTCCAATGCATAAAGGTGAAAAGTGAAAGTGAAGTTGCTCAGTCATGTCCGACTCTTGGCGACCCCATGGACTGCAGCCTACCAGGCTCCTCCATCCATGGGATTTTCCAGGCAAGAGTACTGGAGTGGGGTGACAATGGATTACTCAGCCATAAAAAGGAATGAAAGTTAGCCATGTGCAACAGCATGGATGGACCTGTAGGGGATTACACTTAGTGAAGTCAGTCAGACAGAGAAAGACAAATATTATATGTTTTTACTTATAGATGGAATCTAAAAAATAAAACAAACAATATAACAAAAACAAACAAACAAAAGGGCTCACAGATGCAGAGAACAAACTAGTGGTTACCAGTGGGGAGACGGGGAGGTGGTGGGGCAAGATAGAGGAAGGGGGGACTTCCCTGGTGGTTCAGGGGTTAAGAATCTGCCTAGCAATTCAGGAGACTTGGGGGTTCGATCCCTGATTGAGGAACTAAGACTCTACAACTAAGACACAGAGCAACTAAGCCTGCGTGCTGCAACTACTGAGCCTGCACATCACAAGGAAAGATCCTACATGACATATTGAAGATCCTGCATGTTGCAACAAGATCCAACACAGCCAAATAAATAATACAAATTAGTAAATACTTTTTTAAAAAAAAGATAGAGGCAGGGAATCAAGAGGCAAGAAGTACTAACTACTAAGTAGAAAGTAAGTAAGATTCAAGGATGTAATGCCCAGCACAGAAAATAGAGCCAATATTTTAAAATGACTTTAATGGAGTAAATGGGGCTCCCCTGGTGGCTCAGATGGTCAAGAATCTGCCTGCAATACAGGAGACCTGGGTTCAGTCCCTGGGTCAGAAAGATCCCCTGGAGAAGGGCAGGGCAACCCACTCCAATATTCTTGCCTGGAGAATTCCATGGACAGAGGAGCTGATGAGCTACAGTCCGTGGGGTTGGACATGACTGAGTGACTAACACTTTCACTCTGAATGGAGTAAAATCTATAAAACTATTGAACCACAATGTTGTGAAACTAATCAGTTCAGTTCAGTTGCTCAGTCGTGTCCAAGTCTTGCAACCCCATGGACTGCAGCACACCAGGCTTCCCTGTCCTTCACCATCTCCCAGGGCTTGCTCAAACTCATGTCCATTGAGTTGGTGATGCCATCCTACCATTTCATCCTCTGTCATCCTCTTCTCCTCCTGCCTTCAATCTTTCACAGCATCAGGGGGCTAAAGTATTGGAGCTTCAGCACCAGTCCTTCCAAACAATATTCAGGACTGATTTCCCTTAGGATGGACTGGTTGGATCTCCTTGCAGTCCAAGGGACTCTCAAGAGTCTTCTCCAACACCATTAATATGATATTGTAAATCAAATAAACTCCAATTTAAAAAAAAAAGCTAGCTAGGGAGAACGCAAGTATTTAAAATGAGAGAAGGACCATCACTCTAGTGTGGTGGTTCTTAACCCGGGATCCACAAAGAGAATTTAAGGAGTCTGTGACATGGATGTGAAAACAAATTGCCTTTCTTTTACTAACCTCTACCTGAAAGACGGCATCTCTTCTCATTATGAAACTAAGCAACAAACCAGTGTAGTATTATCTGTCCCTGGGATCTTGCTCCCAATAGAAATCACAGATATTTTCACATTACATTTCAATTGTTGCAGATATCTTAAAATATTATTTATATTCATCACTTATCAGAAATTATAGTAGTTGTTAGGTCTGCCACTCTATCTGATTACTTAACGCATTAATAAAACACTGGGCTTCCCAGGTGGTTCAGTGGTAAAAGAATCCAATGCAGGAGATGCAGTTTGATCTCTGGGTCAAGAAAATCCCCAGGAGTAGGAAACAGCAACCCACTCCAGTATTCCTGCCTGGAAAATTCCGTGGACAGAGAAGGGCTACAGTCCATGGGACCGCAAAAAGTTGGATACAACTGAGCGACTGCGTACACACATATGCAATAAAACACTAAATTGTTATACAACGAATTTATCTTAAATATTTTGATAACTATTTTAATGTTATTGTTTTCCTATGTCATCCTCTTTATGTATTTTATTAATTAAAATATATTAACTCTGAGAAAGGGCTTGGGAGCTTCAAAGGACTGTCAAAGACACCCATGCACAAAAGGCTATGAATCCTTAGGCTTGAGTAAGAGCCAGATATTACTGCCTGCCTAATAGGCTCAGAGTGTTCAAGTCTTAAAACTACACTCCGGGTTTTGTGGCTTGTTGAAATTAAAAAAAAAAAACAAAACTTTACAATTGAAATTTTTGCATTTGCTAAATCTGAAACTCTTAACCCTTTGGCCTGTTAAAATAGTCATTTGATGCAAGATGAACATCCAAGGTTTCTTATGTCAGATTCCTGACAGATCATTTCCGAAAAGGCAGGTGACTTGAATCCATCTGGAAAGTGATTTCAGCAGCCAGGAGAATTAAGATTGAGTGCAACCTGTGGCCCCTCTTGTCGGCGAGAACACCTCCAACCTGCCTGACTGCCACAGTCAAAAACATTGGTTCTGCTTTTACCAAATTCAGCTCTCGTGCTGTGGTGTAAATTCAGGGACAAGTGCTCAGGACAACACAGCCTGCAGAGAAAAACACTTCCCCATGTGTATCGTTGCCTGCTTTCCTTCTCATCTGAGCAACAGAGCGGCCACGCTCTCTCGTTTACAGTCAGGAAACGCGTCCAGCCAAGGGCTTCCCAGTTCACAAAACAGGAGACAGCAGCAACAGCAGCAAAGTACTCTGCAATCTGGCAATGTCAGACTCCCAGCAAACCAAGTCATCCAACCACCCGCAGCAGTGACATCCCCCGAGAAGGTCTCTTTACGCCTTCCCTCTGCCGAGCCAGAAGCTCTGTGAGGCTTGGGCACGGTCCTCAAGCATCTGACCCCAGAGCCCAGCACAGAGCTCAGCACACAGTAGAGTCTCTACTCATGTCTGCTGGACACTGGAGGCAAAAATGGCCTGTTCTGCTTGTTTTTCACTTATTTTTACGGGCTTTTGGAAATGCATTTTGCATTTCTTTAATTACTTCTCGAGTATAAGTAACAAGGTTTTTGCTTCTTGTTTCTTAAAAAGATGGTTCACAGATAAAAACAACTTGCATACAGACCCCAGAGTTGGATGCTTCTGGGGTTTGTGTCCTCAAGGACATAAGAGGCCCAGCCCTAGGGGATCCCTCACCTACAAGGGGATGTCACATCAGAGGGGACCTGAAAGGCAGGCCTAGAGGACCCAAGTTGGACAGAGGTTTGGGGATGAGCCAAACACGCCCCCAGCAGCTGTGGGGAAAGGCAGATCCAGAGACTGGGAAACACCAAACAAAACGAAGCCATGGAAGCAAGGTGGGGACAGCCCCACCCCAAAGCCCCTCTGGACACCAGGCTGGACCTTGTCCTGGCACTCAAAAGGACTTAATCTTTCAGTCACAAAATTCTCTTAGTGTCTTATGTAACCTGCAGCTTCCCATGGGTATGAATCCAGAGAAAAAGCAGCTGCAGAGCAGAACGTGGCACTTGGCACAAAACATGTGCATCCTTTCCAAACCATCAACACCACCCTATACCCTCACCCATCAACAGAAGGTCTCCCAGGAGGAGGAGAAACCTTGTCAGAGAGGAATAAGGCTCTGGCCTAGTTCTTTACCCAGCTTCCCTGATGGCTCAGTGGAAAAGATTCAGTCTGCAATGCAGGAGACCCAGGTCAGATGCCTGTGTGGGAAAGATCCCCTGGAGAAGGAAATGGCAGCTCACTCCAGTATTCTTGCCTGGAAAGTTCCATGGACAGAGGAGCCTGGTGGGCTACAGTCCATGGGGTCGCAAAGAGTCGGACACGACTGAGTGATTAAACAGCAGCAGCAAATGGTCTAAAACATGCAATTTTCAGAAGCTCACCTGTTGGCTGGATCACCACGGTGGCCACATCCACGGCTTTTTCTTGAATTTCTTGCCAGTTTCCCTGCTCTCCGATCCACTCGCTGACGATGCACCTGTAGGAGCCCTGGTCGGAGGACAGGGCCCGGGACACGGCGAGGCGGTACCCGTCGCTCCCCACAGTGTCCAGGCGTACGTCCCCGCCGCGGTAGCGCTGCTCGTAGCCCGGGCCGGGCCGGAACCGGCCCTCGTGGGTCAGGGAGAGGATGCTCCGCCGGGCGGGGCCGCGCCGCACCTCCCACTGCAGCGCCAGGTGCGTGTGCAGCGGCGACGTGCTGGAGGCCGAGCACCGCACCTCGAAGGGCTCGCCCTCGCGCAGGCTGGGGCCCGGGGCGGGCTGAGGGCTGGCGGCCACACGCAGGGCGTCGGGTAGCACTGCGGGGAGAAAGCGGAGCGGTCAGAACACTGCCGCCCCAAGCGCCGGGCAAGTGCCCGTCAACCTCCAGGTCTTGAGGGACAATTTCTTCCTCCCCTCCCCCGCTCTAATGCCCAGATGGGCCCATCTGCCCATTTCACTACATCTCCCATCTCAGCTGACATTCTGACTTGACAAACGAGGTAGCACTAAGACGACCCCCTGCTAGAACTGGGTGGTGCTAACGCCCTTTGGGAAGCTGGGCCTTGGGCTACACTTCTGTCACCCTTAGGCAAGTCACTTAAACCCCTCTGTGCCTCAGTTTCCTCACTCCTAAAATGGGATGCCAACTAGACCCAACTCAGGAAGCTGACTGAGAATTCAGCTAGTTATAAGGGAAGGTTCCCAGGACAGGGCTTGGTACTCACTGATAACCAGCCATGACTGTCCAACATAGCTTTGTTGGGACACAGGCTGGGGTACGGAGCCTGGGGGATCTTCTAGAAGTTAAAGCAGTGTAATCCGCAGAGCACTAAAGCGTGGGAGAACTTGCTGCGCCTCCAGGTCTAGGCAATGCCTAAGAATAACTAGATTGAGAAGAGGGTATCTGCAGGGTAGGAACCCATAAAGGAAAACTGAAGCCTCAGCTATTTAATTATTAGGACCCATTGGGAAATGGCCGGGTTTCTCTATAGTCTACAAAAAGGGGGCAGGAGATCAGGCAAGTGCTGGTGAGAGCTACTGAGGAAGGGAAGCCACACTTGATATAGCAGTGAGGAGGCCCCTCCCAAAGAGACTGCAGGGACCACCACCTCTCAGGTTTGCCTAAGGGCTGGCTGAGAGAACCCCCAAACACCACTGTTCACTATCTCCTTGGGTGTTCCTGCCACTCCACACTAGGAAATGAATTCAATGTCCTTGAAAAAGGACTACTTTAACTAACAGAAAAAACTGCTACATCTTTAGAAGGACATATCCCAAAGTCCTGTCTCTACTGCAAATGAGTATAATGACTTCCTAGTATATACATCAGCCTGTGAGTCCAGCTAACAGGACTCCGTTCCCAAGACCAGTTATCTCTGAGGCCACGGACACAGCTTAAGACCTGTGAAGCTGAAGGCCAGAGAGACCCTAGATCACGCACTGCGGCCACCAGAGGCTCCGTCTGGGCAGTCAGCCAGGCTCGCTCATGGCCATCCATCTGCTTTCCTGACCCTGAGGAAAGTCTCTCCTTGCTTCTCCTTCCAAAGACTGGAGAAGAAGCAGAAAGATACCGGGGCAGGGGGCAGGGGGTTCCTCCCGCAGCCTCCAACTCCTTAAGATGAGCATCGCACATGGAGACAAGTGTGCATCTCATCTAATGGACGTGTAGCATGTGTGTGACGACGACGGAAGCAATGGATTACTCAACTCCAATGCGAGAATGCCTTATGAGACTGTTCTAAAAAGACATATTTGATTTTTGTATAGGAATGAGAAGAGGTAATGGAAGAGGTAGATTTGACATTTTAATGCTTGCATAATGGAAGTGGCTGTTTTTATCCCCTCGTGAGTCTAGTCAGGGAACAGAATCTGGAATATGGTAGGAGTCAAGAAATCATTATAGAAGGAATGAATGCCTGAATCAACCCCTTCTTTTTATATCATCAGGTACATTTTCTGCTTTCTTGATCATTTAATATGCTACTACCCTGACATAATTCTTTTTGGAACAAGGCAGGATACAAATAAAAACATAATTAAGTAATAATGATAACAACACTAATGTTTCTATTTTGCTAGCCTCAAATTAAAATTGCTTGTTCTTGCTCATTTACCAATTAGCTGTGTGATTTTAGGCAAGTAATTAACCTATGCTTTTCCATCTCCTTGTGTGTAAATTAGGGAAATACCCTGCCGTCTCTTCTTCATTGGATTGAGAACTGAATGGGTGAGTAAATCAAATAGAACTTGGAAAATGAAAAAACAAACACACACAAACATTCCAGCTATGTTAGGTGTGATTACTTGCATAGCCAGGCCCACCAGCTTGCAGTGACCACATCATTCTTTCTCTACATATGACCCATACGACTTCTAGAAAACACAGGTACTTAAATCATGAAGGGCACAGAGAAAGACATGAGCTTCAAAGTATCTCTTATTCTCATAAACATGAACAGTGTCCATGTGACCACCACCCTCTCCTCTCTAACTTGACTGAGTGCTTACTATGGCACTGCTGAGGCTTTACATGTGCTAATTCACCTTGGGGGTTTTCCTGGTGGCTCAGTAGTGAAGACTCTGCCTGCCAATGCAGGAGACGTGGGTTTGACCCTTGGGTCAGGAAGATCACCTGAGAAAGGAAATGGTAACCCACTCTAGTATTCTTGCCTGGGAAATCCCATGGACAGAGGAGCCTGGTGGGCTACAGTCCATGGGGTCGCAAAAGAGTTGGACAAGACTTAGCGGCTAAATAACAACAGTTCACTTTGACCTTTATGGGAGGCACTGTTTTCCAGAGGAGGAAGCTGAGGCATGGGACATACAAACGGCCAGAGAGGTGACAAACAGGAGCGCCAGCCATGGAACTAAGCGCAGGCAACCTGGCTCAGAGCTGGACTCTCCACCACACACCATGCTGCCTCCAACTCACCAGCCACGAGACCGTTCACATTCCCCATGGAATGAAGAGAGGGAGCTCAGAGGCCCCCTGGCCCATCCTCTGCCTTTCATCAGGTAATATGCTATCACTCCCTTGGACAGAGGAGGGAGCAGAGCCCCGGGCACAGTTACTCACAGCTGGGTGGCAGAGGGAAGAATGGTCCCCTGGCACAGCAATCCCCCTCCTCCCATGAGGATGTTACCTTTAACCTGCACTGTATCCTCATAGTTGCCTTGCACGGTGGCGTCCGTGCTGGGGGTGGAACACTTGTAGTGGCCCTGGTCGGAGTGCTGGACATTCTTTATGTGCAGCTCCACCGCGTCGTTGGCCGTCCGCCGCAGCAGGATGTCGCCCCTCTGCAGGCGCTCGCGGTACTGTGGGGCTGGGAAGCCCGCTTCCCAGGTGCTGGCAAGCTCCACGAAGCTGCTGCCCGAGGCCGAGAAGCTCCAGTCAAAGTTCTGCTCGCTGGGGCCATCGTAGTCACTGACGTTGCAGGGGATGACCAGCTCGGTGCCCACTACCCGCACCAGGCTGCCCGCAGGGACCCTCACCACGCGCCCTCGGCAAAGAGCTGCAACGACAAGAAGTGAAAGAGGAGGGCTTGAACCCAGTAAGCTCTTCCCGGAATAAATGTGGCAAGCCTGTGGGCGCTTCAGCTCCCAGGCACATGATGGAAAACATGACACTGACCAGCACGCTGCCAGTGTCTGTGCAGAAGAAGGTTCGGCCCACCCCCAGGACCCCAAGCCCGGAACATCCCCCTGTAGTGAGTACCTCTCATGCACCAGTCTCCCAGGATCAACAGGGAGGAAGCTAAGCACTCAAAGTGGGCTAACTATAAATTTGAAGAGCTTTCTCCCTCCCGTTACTATTTAACCTACTGTGATCACTCAACGTGATGTGGAAATATTTTAGGTTTTGTGTGAAAGAAAAGGACACAGCTAATCAAGTATTTACATTTCTGCCCACCCTATATCAACCCTCTTCCCTAGAGACCATTCCCCCGGGCTCCTGAGACCTGATTTACAATGATGGATGCCAGTTTCTTAAATCCTGAAGCAGCCTGCTGATAAAATGATTTAACTCTGGTTATCTGACGTTGCCTATAAATTACTTTTAAAATATGACGACTCTACCAAGTACTAATTTTCTATTTTCTGGCTCATTTCCTTCTCTCTACTCTTCACCCTGATCCAAATGCAGAATGAGGCTAGGGGAGCACAAAGCGAGACAGTGCCTGCTCTGGCCTGTTGCTGGGCATTGGTAGGAACGCAGCAGCTTGCTGGGGCCGGGCCAGGTGGACAAAGCCAAGAGTTCACTGGCATTTCCCGCCCCAAGAGCACAGACCTCAGGCCTCTGGGCAGGCCCCTGGGGCCTATCATGGTATCCTTTAAGATAGCTTCTTTGTGATGAACTTTGGCACATTCTTTGTAGTGAGTTTACTACCTGTGTAAGCATTTCAATTTGGACCAAAAGAACTTGCATGGTTCTTTCCTGAGGTTCTATGAATTTGTCCGGCATTAAGATATACAGGAGAAAGGATGGGCTCTGAAATCAAGGGGTGTGTGTGTGTGTGTGCGCGTGCGTGCGTGCTAGTCTCTCAGTTGTGTCCGACTCTTTGTGACCCCATGGACTGTAGCCCACCAGGTTCTTCTGTCCATGCAATTCTCCAGGCAAGAATATGGAATGGATTTGCCATTCCCTCCTCCAGGGGACCTTCCCAACCCAAGGATCAAACTCAGGTCTCCTGCATCACAGGCAGATCTTTACTGTCTGAGCCAACACAGAAGCCCTGAAATCCAGGGGACCTAAGTTGAAATTTGAGAGACGTCTTTTAGCTTTGGCTTCCTCAACAATAAAATGAGGCAAGGAGGAGTCACTGAGCTGATGAAATAAAACGTCTAGCTGAGACTCCATCATGTAAGAAGAGCTCAACCAAAGGGATCTTCTGTTATTTATTTTCAATGTTGTGTTTTTGCCATTTGTTCTGAGTGGAATTGTGTCTCCCTACCAACACCTCCCCACTCATATGCTGAAGTCCAGGCCCTCGGCACCTCAGAGTATGACCTTATTTGGGAATAGGTTGTTGCAGTTGTAATTAGCTAAACCGTGATGAGGTCACACAGAGAAGGGTGGGCCCCTGATCCAATGACCAGTATCCTTATAAGTGGGGGGCAGGGATTTGAACATAGATATGCACTCAGGAAGAGTGCCAGGTGAAGCTCAAGGAAGAGGTTTGTCTATGATACAAGGAATGCCCGGTACCCCAGTCTCAGGGACAGACACCGAGGCTGAAACCAGGTTCAAGTCCTCCTGGCTCATTTCTGCTGAAGCTTCTCAGAAAGACATTTTCACCTCCTTTGGGATCAGGGATGCTTTACTCTGAAGCAGCACATAGGCTGCCCTCTTGACCAGGTGAGAAAGCCGTCTATGGCAGAAGAGACTCAGGCCAACACCAGGAGAGGTGCAAGGAATGTGTCCTCCTGACAGATGGCCTTATTTGAGCCACTAGATTTGGCCACACCCTCTATTAACATCATTCCACACTCTTGCCCATGCACACACATGTGTATGTCTTCCCCAGACATTTCAATTCCTTACAATTCCACTCACATTTATGGTCCTTAAGCTAATATCTGTCACTGGCAACTCAGGGCATTGAAATAAAACATACCTACCAAGCAGTGAAGTCATCATCACCACAGTTCACAAAAGAAACAGGCGATCTTTTTTACATTTAATTTCAGAGATGACCAGATAATCCCAAATCTCGCAGAGAGGCCCTTCAGAAGGAAGGTCACAGAGGAGACCTGTAAGAAGGGTCACAACCTAATGCTTTTTTCCTCATGCCCACTGTCCTCTTCTATGAAGTGGACACATGACCCCTTAAGGCTTTGTAAGGCTTAAATGAGCCACAGGACCCCCATGAGTGCATGAAATTCGGTAAAGCTCTGCTTTGCAGGCGGCATCTATAATAAACCTGATCACATCCATTCACTCTGCTTCCCTGGCAGGTTTACAAAGGAATTTCCTAACGTGTCCATCTTTGCAATTCCTAGCCCTTGTCAGGAGGCTGACCAGGTTAATAACCGGCTCAACAGGGCCCTTCGGCATGAGGCTATATTCCTTGTAAAGTCTCTGTCTTTATTCTCAGTGAGCAGAGCTTGGGGGACAGCTGGTTCGTCTCAGCTCTCCAGTCCTGCTTCCACACACAGCTGCCCAAGTCATCTTTTCAGGCATAAATCATGTCACTTCATTGGTCAGAAGTCCTTCATGGCTCCTCATTACCTGCAGAATTCACTCTATCTTCCAGGTCCCCTACTGTGATCTCCCTGGTTCAAGCCACCTTCCCTCTCACCTGAGTTATTGCAACAGTCTCCCAACTGGCTGCCCACCTGCCCTGCACTGTCAACATGGCCAAGCCATCTTTTAACAACTCAAGTCGTCTGACATCTTTACTCTGTTCAAAGTCTCAGATAAAAGGCAAGTCCTCAAAGAGGCCATTAAGACCTCTCAGGACCCGGCCCTTTTGCTCCTCCACCCTCCTGCTCCTCCTGCTGTTGTACTCTAGCCGGCTTTACCTCCCAAGGCTCTTGAGCAAACAGAACTACTCCAGTCTCAGGGTTTCTGCACACTGCTAAGTCCAGAACGTTCTCAGATGCTCACGATGCTCACCATGCTCCATCATCAGCTCCACATTTCATTACAATGTCACCTTCCCTTTCCTGACCATCTTAAAATTGCACATGCCCATCCTTATTCTTGTTGTGTTTTCCTGTCACTTATCAATAATACTCTTTATGTGTATCCATATATTTTTACTATTATTTATTATCCAACTCCTCCCACTAGAATGTAAGGACTATATGAGCTGTGATTTTTAATCTGTTTCCTTTGCTCCTAAATGCCAGTGCCTAGGACTGGACCTGGTTCATAGCATATGTTCAGTAAATATTTGCTAAATGAGTGGATGAATAAAAATACACAAGATCCTTCAAAGTCTGCCCCATGGCTACCATTCCAGCTTCATCAGCTATCATTCTTCCAGCCCTTAGTGCTTAGACGCCAACAAAACAAATGACCCTTCGTTTTCTGGAAATGCCATGCTTCTCTTGTGCACCACAGACTCTACTTCTGGGCCTCATTCATCTGGAATTGCCATCCCAACAACCTCTCAGCCTCTTGCAAGAAGCAGCTCCATCCCCATCTCCTGCCTGAAGCCTTCCTCATCTCCCCAGGGGTCACTGAGGCACTCCTGCCTCCACATTCCAACTCAACCTGCAGAAGCACCTTCCATGCTGGCTATGTTACAGTGCCACTGGGGAAAAAAGCCAAGCAGATACGAACAGATACTTGACAGATCAAATTCTAATCTAAAAAAGATAGAAATCTGAGTAGTGGCATACATGAAGATCTGGGATGTCCTCTCATCTGTGCAAAGCAAGATTTTGAAGTTGGGAGAACAGAATTTCAACTTGCTAATAGCAAGCTGGTATTTAGCACATATTTCCTTTAATACTGTTAGATAACAGTTAATAATATTTAAAAAGAAATACAACTTGTGAAACATAGAGCATATGGCTCTTTCAGAATCAAAAAGAGTATCTGCAAAGCCACACATTGCCAACGTTAGTTGAAACCTTTTGTAACAGCTGATTAAGGGGAAAAGAACAAAATTCTCCTCTGGTTTTCCAAATTCTACCAAATTTCACATGAAGAGTCCCAAACACTCTGGCACCTGAACTGTATTAGTTTCACATTCTATAAAAATATCTTTACTAAGAAATAATTTAAAATTGTAGTTTCATTTGTTTTCAGAGGTCAATATAAGAAACCTTCATATGAAATACATTTCTTTATTAGCCTTAAAAGGACTATTGAGGGCACGACTGTGTTGTTCAGTGACAGAAGAAAACATATGATAAGTCTCTTAAAATTTAGTACCTGAACTCCTGTTGATGGCCCACTGTGTGTTCTTTCCCCAGAAAATAAGAACTACATAGGCATCTCTCACCACTCAGCCCAGAAACCACAGCCCAAGTACCTTTGATACTCAACACAAAATTAGGGCACCTTAATAGCACATTTTGTGCAGTATATTAAGGCTCTGATGCTAAGGCTCTTCCTCATAATCCCAATTACTAAATATACCGGTACCATATCACCATGCCCTGACTAGATCAGACCTTCTTACATAGATATCAGAACCCTGCACTGCTTCCTAATTCCTGTTTTTAAAATTTCTGCCTAAACCTCCCAGCAAACATACACGTACACACACACACACACACACACCCCTGAATACAACTGTGACTACTAACTTCATCATCTTTTCTCTATTCCAACTTCCAAGTCTTGTTTTCCCCATCATACATAAAATTCGTATGTCCTTTTGTACTTTGGGCCTTCCTGGTGGCTCAGAGGGTAAAGAATCTGTCTACAATGGTGGAGACCTGGGTTTGATCCCGAGGTCTGGAAGATCCCCTGGAGGAGGAAATGGCAACCCACTTCAGTATTGTTTGGATAATTCCCTGGACAGAGGAGCCTGGTGAGCTACATAGTCCATGGGGT